CCCCCCCCTCCACGCGCAGCCAGCTGGGTGACCTTGGGTCAGTCACAAGCTCTCTCAGAGCTGTTCTCTCCAGAGCAGTCCTCGAAAGAGCTCTCTCAGCCCCACCTACCTCACAGGGTATCTGTTGTGGGGAGAGGAAGGGAAGGAGATTGTAAGCCGTTCTGAGACTCCGAGTGAAGGACGGGATACAAATCCAACTCTTCTACTTCTCTTTACAAACGACACCTCTTGCAGATGATGGTCTTTTAAGCCCAACAGCTGCAATACCACCACCCCCCGAACTGATAGAATCCACTCGAAGCATCCGCCAAAGCAGGCCCTAGCTGACAAAAGCTTACAACGCCTGCTTTAGAGGTGACACACGATTCTGCCTTCTTTTTTTTTAAACCAAAAAAGCTCATCTGACAAAAGTCTCTGCCCAAGGGGCACCCACCTAAGCACAGGAGAGCCAGCGCTCCACCTCTCCCCGCCTCACCTGTTGCAGTAGTACACCGCGTTGGATGGGTTCAGTTCGATGGCTTTCCCATAGTAGGAGATGGCGCTTTCGAAGTTCTCCGCCTTCATTTGCTCGTTTCCTAAAAATAACAACCACTGTGTGCTGTCAAGTCGCCTCCATCTCGTGGCGACCCCAGGACCACGGGATTTGCGAGGCAAGAGTCGATCAGAGGTTGCTTGCCATTGCCCTCTGCTGCGTAGCAACCCCGGACTTCCTTGGTGGTCTCCCTCCCAAGTACTAACCCTGGCCGGCCCCGGTTAGCTTCCCAAGCTGTGACGAGATCAAGCTAAACCGGGTTATTCAGGCTGCTCTCATTTCTAATGGAGAAAGAAATATCCTCGCCCTGACCTGGATAGCCCAGGCAAGCCCGATCTCATCAGATCTCGGAAGCTAAGCAGGGTCGACTCTGGCAAGGACTGGGATGGGAGACCTCCTTGGAATACCGGCAGTCGGGAGGACAGGGGCAGGCTGTATTCAGCCACCTCTCCGAAGTCCCTCCAGGTCCCCAGGTGGGATCATCACAAGAGGTCGCCATGACTTCCAGGTGCACACACAGCACATACACAGACACACATATGGGAAAAAGAAAAAAAGAAGGAAATATCCTCTATAGAACTTATAGAGGTTTCAAATCCACCAGGGGGACTCCTAGATACTGTGGGGGGGGGTTTTCCCCTCCCTCCCTGGCCGATACACTTTCCTCATAGGTGCCACGTTCTGCCTGCAGCTGACTCAAGTTTAGTTTATTGTCTTAGCCATTGGCCATAACAACACAAAATAAATCAAAGCACAACCAACAGTATATATCAGTAACTTACAGTAAGTCCTAGACCCAGTCTTATCTTTTTCGCCGCCAGTGCAAACAAAGCCATTCTGCTAGTAACATGTGCATCAATATCAGAGAGCAAGAAAACGGTCAAATCCTGCTCTGAAATTCCATTATACAGAGGTACAATAGGATAAATAAACCTTTGCCTAAGTGATTCATGCCATGAACATCTCAGAATGTAATGCACGACATCATCCACTTCACCCATACCACAGAGGATATCCTCGCCATGACCTGGACGGCCCAGGCAAGCCCGATTTCGTCAGATCTCGGAAGCTAAGCAGGGTCGACTCTGGCAAGGACTGGGATGGGAGACCTCCTTGGAATACCAGCAGTCGGGAGGACAGGGGCAGGCTTTATTCAGCCACCTCTCCGAATACCCTCCAGGCCCCCAGTAGGGATCACCACAAGAGGTCGCCATGACTTCCAGGTGCACACATAGCACATACACAGACACACATTTGGAAAAAAGAAAAAAAGAAGGAAATATCCTCTATAGAACTTATAGAGGTTTCAAATCCACCAGGGGGACTCCTAGATACTGGAGGGGTGGTGGTGGTTTCCCCCTCCCTCCCTGGCCGGTACACTTTCCTCATAGGTGCCACTTTCTGCCTGCGGCTGACTCAAACTGCACTCGCCAGCAAGGCCAAGAGATTCCGCTGTTCAAATAAGATTGGCTCTCGGTCCCCTCAGGAGGAGAACCAACGGAGACAACACACAGGGTGTGAGACAACCCCCCCGGTGACACTACAGGATCAGTAACCTGCCTGAGTACCCCCCGGGAGAAGAGACAGAGGCTCAGCAGAACTGGGGGCTTGGCGGAGGGGAGGGGCATGAGGCCTACCTTCTGTTTTCAGCCTCTCTGCTTCAGCTGCGTCTTCTTCGGAGGGAGTGACCGGCTCAGAATTTGTTCTGCTCGGCTGGGGCTCCTGAAGGAACCGAGAGGGAGAAAGAGGCAAAGAGGCCCGCTTGGAACAAACTGATAAGAGAGTCCCGAAGGTCCGGCAATCTAGCAAGCATTGGGGAGGATTTTTTTTCACAGGTTCGGCAGGCGTAACCAACGGGCTCCCCCCACCCCCGTTATCTGCTGAACTAGGCCCGCAGCTGAAGCGCGTACAGTCTGAGAGCCTCGCATACAGATGACTATGGGGCCACAAAGGGAGACCAGAGGCCCAGCTGAGAGTATGTGGCTGCTATACCCTCCAACAGGCAAGGACAGAGCTGTTCAGCCAGGCCAGAGGGGATGCTTCAAGACCCAGGACCACCGGAGGCCCTGCTGAGAATCCAAGCCTCTGCTTCTGCCGCCCATCCCTAGCAGCTTTCCCTTTCCTCTAAATCCGTGCAGCTGTCTACAGACCTAACCCCGCAGCCTCCTGGTTCCCACCCCAATCAACTTGTCCGGGGGGAGCAGGGTCCATAGAAAAACTGCTTGCTCCCACTGCCTCTGTCCATTTGCCCCCTGTCCCTAATCTGGACCTTGAATCCAGAGACTGCACATGGGAGCTTTCACACATTTTGAATAATGCCCTTTCAATCCACTTGGCCACTGTTTGCAAGTGGATTGTGCCACTTCACACAGTAAAATCCAGTTGCAAAGTAGATGGAAAAGTGCATTTTTAAGCGTTATGTAAAAACACTCACAATTTCACTGAAGTTTTTCTCTCTTCCCCATGCTGGTCCTAGACGCCTACCCCGTCCCAGCCACACCTACAGAAACCCACCTTTGCTGCTGCAGCGTCAAAGATTTCAGGAAGGGTCTGAGAAATGGCCAAGCCTCTATCCTCCATGGACACCCCAAAGGCTGTCTCTAGGCACTGGATGGCAACTAGAGAAAAAGGATTCAAGGAGGAGCGGTTAATCTTTCTTGCCTCAGAAGATGCCAAGCCAAAAGTAGCATCTGCCTTCCTGGAACAACCCCCCTCTCCTCCTCCAGGCAGGCCCATTTTCACAGTGGAATGAGGAGAAGATAAAGCTCTGCCCCCCTGCTCTAAGAAAGGCTGAGGCTATCGCAGCTTCTTGATTTAGGAGATCGTCAGCTTAACATCGATACTGGGTAAGTTGGTGGAATCCATTAGTAAAGATAAAATTAGTAGGCACGTTGATGAACAAAAGCTACTGAGGAAGAATCAGCATGGATTCTGTAAGGGAAGACCTTGTCTCACTAACCTTTTAGAGTTCTTTGAGGGAGTGAACAAGCATGTGGACAAGGGTGATCCAACAGATGTTGTTTACCTAGACTTCCAGAAAGCTTTTGATAAACTTCCTCATCCAAGGCTCCCAGGTAAACTCAGCAGTCATGGGATAAGAGGACAAGTCCCCTTGTGGATTAAAAACTGGTTAATTAACAGGAAACAGAGAATATAAATGGGCAGATTTCACAGTGGAAGGTGGTAAGCAGTGGGGTACTGCAGGGCTTGATACTGGGTCTGGTGCTTTTTAACTTGTTCATTAATTATTGGAGTTGGGAGTAAGCAGTGAAGTGGCTAAGTCTGCAGGTGACGCTAAGTTGTTCAGGGCGGTGAAAACCAGGGAGGACTGTGAGATGCTCCAGAGAGATCTATCGAGGCTGGATAAGTGGGCATCAACATGGCAAATGAGGTTCAGCGTAGGCAACTGCAAAGTAACGCACATTGCAGCCAAAAATCCCAACTATATATACATGTTGATGGGGTCCTAACTTGCGCTAACTGATCAGGAGAGAGATCTTGAAGTCATGGTAGATAACTCACTGAAACTGTTGACTCAATGTGCAAGAGCAATAAAAAAGGCCAATGCTATGCTGGGGAATCAGCCAGTATCATAATGCCTCTGTATAAATCTATGCTGTGGCCTCATTTGGAATACTGTGTAAGCTGCAGTCATCGCAACTCCAAAAAAAGATGTTATAGCATCGGAAAAAGTACAGGAAAGGGCAGCTAAAATGATAACAACACCTTCCCTATGAAGAAAGGTTAAAGAGGTTAGGGCTCTTTAGCTTGGAGAAACGACAACGGAGAGGTGATACGATAGAGGTTTACAAAATTATGCATGGGATAGAGAAGGTAGAGAAAGAGGTACTTTTCTCCCTTTCTCACAATGCAAGAACTCGTGGGCACTCAATGAAATTGATGAGCTGTCGGGTTAGAACAGATAAAAGCAAGTACTTCTTCGCCATACCTTCAGGACCGCCTCTTCCCACATGAGCCCCGTAGAGCACTGAGATCTATAAATCAACACCTTTTGGTAGTCTCCAGCCCCAGGGATGTCTGACTTGCCTCGACTAGAAGACAACAGTACTGACCCCTATCGGGTGGATTGAGCCCCTGTATGAGTTCAGCTCCTGTATGAGATCAGTAAATCCTGCAGGGCCTGTAAGATGGAACTCTTCCGCCGGGCTTTTGGCTGAGGCAGTGGAGTCCCCCTCCCCCCTTCTGGTTGGCCTCCCATCAGTATCCTGGATTCGAACAGCCACCTGGGAACCCACACTTCTGTTCCATCTTAACTGCTGAGACATTTGATTAGATTTTGCACAGTATTTTATGACTTTTATACTATTTTAATTTGTTGTTTCAGAGTGGTTTTGTTACTGTAAACTGTATTAATATTGATGGAACCTGCCCTGAGCCTGCTTGCATGGAGAGTGGAATACAAGTCCAATAAAATAATATTAAAATTAATAAAATAAAGAGTAATTAATACATAGAATTCAATGCCACAGAAAGTGGTGGCAGATATACACACAGATAGCTTCAAGAGGGGATTAGATAAACATATGGAGCAGAGGTCCATCGGTGGCTATTAGCCACAAGGTATAGATGGAACACCATGTCTAGGGCAGTGGTGCTCTGTATTCTTGGTCCTTGGGGGGCCAGTGGGAGGGCTTCTGGACTTCTGGCCCCACTGGTGGACCTCCCAATGACACCTGGGTTTTGGCCACTGTGTGACCCAGAGTGTTGGACTGGATGGGCCATTGGCCTGATCCAACATGGCTTCTCTTCCAACAGGGCTGGAATCCTTCCCCCCCAGATGAGAATCTGGAAGATCCAAGTTCAGACCTCCATTCTGTTCTGAAGCTTGTTGGGTGACCTTGGGCCAGTATGCAGAATGCAACCTGATGCAGTGCACATGCGTACACACACGTTACAGTCACCTACCTTCCAAGCTCTCTTGAGCATCAGGGGAAAGGCCCCCGTTCTGCAACTGATCCTGGAGGAACTGGATGATGGAGAAGGCGAGGCGTTTCTTGTCTGCCATTCTGTCGCTCTGGGTGAACCTTTGCTGCTACTTCCTTCCATTCAGAACAGAAGCAGAGAGGGGAGCAAAATATAAGTCTTGTGAGCTGTGAAATGAAAGGCAGCCTGGAAGATGGAGCCAGGAGTACACATCGAAGTGGCAGAGGTAAGTGAAGAGCAATGTTTCGAACTAAGCAACTACCTCTGCCCAGTGGTTCAAGTTTTTCACTTTCTGGTGCCCCCAAGCCTGGAGCCAGCAGGGCAATGTCTAAATAGAGAGATGCTGGAAATTCTTGCTGGGCGGATACCCCGCCTTTCTTCTGGGAGTTCTCACGTCATTCCTCCCCCACACTGCCAGACCCAAGCACTGACCATGCCCAGAAATGCTTTCCACTAAACGAAGGTGCCACAACAAGGGTGCCCCCATCACACATCGTCAAGCCATACAACAAACATGTGCAGTATTGTCCTGCAAGGAATCCTTCTCTTTTCAGTCCAAAAGCCCACAGCATAGTTTTCTCATCACTATCTGAGATTCCTTTGCACATGCTCAAGGGCACTCTAATTTTGCACGAAATAATTTCCAGGGATAAAGCCACTGATTGGGGGAAGAGACAGGCTGAAGACGTCTGCCCGTGCAGCTGCAAGTTTGCTCAGGCACTGTTGCATCCAAGGGCAACCATCACATCCAACCCCCGCTGCAACAAATGACCCTCTGTGTAAAATCTCCGCCTTCTCCTGCCATGTTATCAAGGCCAAAGTGTGGCAGAATCAACTACAGCAATGACAGCCTCCCCCTCCCATAAAAGCTCCAACCATCCCAGTAATAACAACTGCAAAGTATTTCCAGGATTGTTTTTCTCTCTGCAGCTGCAGTGTTACAGGCATAGCCAATGGGGTACATTACAGACCCAAACCCCTAATTTCAAATTTACTTTGGTGAGAACAGGGATACAATTTGGGGCTGAAGAGCAACCCCCCCAAAAAACACAGAAGCACATGGGGAAGGGCCACGGTTCAGTGGTAGAGCATCTGCTCGACATTCAGAAGGTCCCAAATTCAATCTCAGCATCTCCAGTTAAAGGATCTGGCAGTGTGACGTGAAAGACCTCAGCCTGAGACCCTGGAGAGCTGCTGCTAGGCTGAGTAGACAAAACTGATTTTGATGGACCAAGGGTCTAATTCAGTATAAGGCAGTTTCATGTGTTCAGACATAATTAAGGAGATGCCGTGAAAGTCAGGCTTTCTCACCAGCTGTCAGTCAAACTTAGAAAACTACTCCTGTCAGAGCATCCAACCAATTTTCTCTACTGCAGGGCCAACACAGGAGAGAGGCACAAGATTTAAGCCTCATAGAGGCAGGGAACATGCGTCTCAGCTATAACCACATCTGACTGCAGCTGTGTATGAGATTAAATAAAAACCCTCCACCCAGATTAGCAGGTCAGACAGAAGAAGTCTACCTAGCTTTCTCTCTAATTTTCTGGGTGCAGGCAATTTTTAAAATGTTTATTTACTTATTTAAAACACCTCTATGCTGCTTTTCCACTCAGCTCAAGGTCCTCCAGGTGGTGAACATTTCAAGCATTAAAACAGTATTTAAAACACAAATATGTGTAGAATATTTTAAATAATTAAATGAAAGCTATAAATGCATAGGCACACAACCTGGAAGGAGGGTTAATAAGAGTTAATGAGGAAACACCCAACAAAACTTCACCTGCTGGCAGAAAATGATAGAGGGAGACAAACGAATCTCCCTGAAAAGGGAGTTTCAAAGTTTGGGTGCCACAACTGAGAAGGCCCCGTCTCAGATTGCTGCCCATCTAAATTTAGAAAAAGAGAAGAACAGATTGGATTTATATCCCACCCTTCACTCAGAGTGGCTTACAAACTCCTTTCCATTCCCACAACAGATACCCTGTGAGGTACGTGGGGCTGAGAGAGCTCTTTCAAGAACTGCTCTTTCAAAAACAGCTCTAACAGAACTATGGCTTGCCCAAGGTCATCCAGCAGCTGCAAGTGGAGGAGTGGGGAATCAAACCCGGTTCTCCCAGATTAGAGTCCGTGCATTTAACCACTACACCAAACTGGCACCCAACATTGGGTCTCCAAAGCTGACCAGAGTGGATGGGCAGGTTTTATATGGGAGAAGGCTGTCCTTATGCTGGCCCTAAGCCATATAGTGCTTTAAATACCAGCTTGAACTGGGCCTGGAAGTAAATTGGGACTGGACTGGCCCACTCCAGTCAACATTCTGGCCACAGGCTTCTGACAGAAACTATTAGCATATATCACATGAAGCTGCCTTACACTGAATCAGACCCTTGATCACACAAAGTCAGTACTGTCTACTCAGACTGGCAGCAGCTCTTCAGGGTCTCAGGTTGAGGTCTTTCACATCACCTCCTACATCAGTGGTGGCGAACCTATGGCACGGGTGCCAGAGGTGGCCCTCAGAGCCCTCTCTGTGGGCACGCGTGCCTTCCCAGCCAGGCCCAGACCATCATTAATGTGTCGAATTCTCTGCCAAATAATTTTAAGTAAATGAAAGCATTTGGGATTGCTTTCCTTACTTTGTTTGGATCATCTTAAGTTAATGTATGAGTTGTTTTTTCTAAAGTAAAACCTCAGTATTCGGGTTAAATCACCATGTTGGCACTTTGCAATAAATAAGTGGGTTTTCGGTCGCAGTTTGGGCACTCAGTCTCTAAAAGGTTCGCCATCACTGCCCTACATGGTCCTTTTAACTGGAGACGCCAGGGATTGAACCTGGGACCTTCTACATGCCAAGCGGATGCCCTACCACTGAGCTATGGCTCCTCCCTAAAGGGTGTTAAGCCTAAAGGGTTCTAGCCTAGCCGTTCCCTGATTTGCTAGTGTCTAACACACAGGGTATTTATTCATTGTTAATGGCAGAGAACTTATTCAGAAGAGCCCCTTCGTATGGTCTCAAACAGCCCAGCTTAATCACAGATTAAAACCTTTAGCAAGAATGAGGCCTTTAAAAGGTTCCTTAACACTCTACAGTTGCAACCCTAAATGCCTTAAATCCTGATTTCTCTTAGGCCTATTTAGGGTGTGGCAGACTTAAAAACAGGGATAATGATAAAGGAAAGTCCAGACTTTGGTGAGGCGTGAACTCCGAAAGCAAGTGAGGGGTTACAGAGTTACGGCATCTGAAATAGCAGACATTCTTCTAACGTCACGGGGTGGGATGGGAATAAGAGATGACTCAATCCCTCCAATCCCTGGCTGAAATTAAGCAAGTGTCATTACAGGCATTCACGTGACCCTGCTCAGTCTTCTTTCAATTGTAAACTCTCGGGGACAGAGACTCTTTTTTACTAACAGCAGAACACCCTCGCCCTCACCAGCATCTGTGCCAAACATGAACCGTTCCCGTGGCTTACACAAAAATTGCCCAATTTTCTGAGGCAAAAAGAGGCAGGAGTGTAGGGGTGTGTCACACCCACAACCCTGCCACTCAGCAAAAAAAATAAAATAAAATGTCCCAAGTCCCAGGCATAGTAGGACCTGCATAAATTGAATGAAATGTAATCGTTTTCAGTATCCCACCATATATATACTAGGACTAGGGGAAGCAGTAAAAGTGGGATTTACATGGATTCTTGGGGTCTTTAGCTGTGATGTGATGGTGGGGTTTTTTTGTGGAGGGAGCTTCCAGATGAAGGTGCACCTAGCTTACTACTGGACCCAACTTTTGTCTAGGCACAAGTAATACACATACTAGGTTACGACATTACATGCCCGTTACAAGTGCGGCAGATAGTGTCAGATAATGTCGACTCTGTGGTGGCTGCAAGCTGGGCAACCCCCAGTTGCTTCCCAGCACAAAGTCTGTGCCGTTATGAGAAGGAAATGCTCAGGGCCCCCAAAGTCACCCCAGTCTTGGAGGAGGCACCCCACCCTGGACAAAAAGGGTCTTTGTTCAACAGGCAAAACACACATACACCCCTCCATAGAAATACAGCCACAAAGAAAATCTGAACCCGTCAAGACTGCTGTCTTTGGCCCAGGAGAAGCCCTTTCTTTAAGCAAAAGGGAGCGCTCCCTCCAACAAGCAAATCCTTCCAACCGGGAAAAAGCAGGCATACATCAGGTACAGCTTCCCTCCACCTTAGGAAGGCCTCCCCGCGGGGGGAAGGCTGCATCTCTTGGACTTCTGTTCTGTTATGGAGCAGTCTCTCCCCACCCACGCTCTTTTAGGGGAAAGGGGGAGAGGGAGCCTCTGTGGAGGAGGAAACCCCCTACCCACCCACCCAGGACAACCCATTGTGGCTTGTAGGGAGAGACGCACCCCCTTGCTCTCTTTCAGGATGCCTGGAGAGAGAAGACAGGCAAGCAGACATCCCACAGCTACAGCCCCCTATGAAAGGATGCATGGAGTGGGTTCCTCGCTGGTATTCAGAAGTTACTTCCCTTCCCTCCCTCAAGAAACAGGGGGGGGGACTCCAGAGGACCCCTCTAAGCAAAAACGCCCTTAAGCAAAAAGCAACCCATGATGCCTGGAGGAAGGGGCAGCCCAGACACCTTTTTCTTCTCCCCCCCCTTCCGTACCTCCTTTCTTCCCTCCCCCCCCTTCCCCATTCACTCACCAGCCCTCAGTCGCCCCCCAGCAGCGAAGCGGCCACCGAGCCCAACTACGCATGCACCTTCTAAGGGCCCCTTGTCTTGTTCTTCTTTCTGCCCAACTGCGCAGGCGTCGCGAGGGGGCGACATTGCGCCTGCGCGTAGAGCCCCGTTCCAGTCAGAGGCGGACAAGTTCCTTGTTTCTTTCTTCCGCCAACCCCCTTCTCCTGAATCACGCCAAAGGTCCCGAGTAGGCGCATGCGCACAGAGGCCGACTAGCCCTAAGAGCGCGAGGGCGCCTGCGTAAACCTGGCGATAGGTGAGTTGCTGATGCGTCCTTCTCACTGTTGTACGCTCCGAATCCCGCCCAACTAAGGGCGGAAACGGGCAAAAGGAGCGACGCATTGTGGCGAAGAAGAATGCCTGCGAAAACACCTCTGACACCCGCTCACATGGCGATCGCGCCAAAGGGAAGCTTCATAGGCCTGCGAAGGAACTTCCGGTTCTTTAATGTAGAGTGTACTTTTCTCCATTTGCGGGGCGGGAGCAAGAGGCGGGAGCTCAGTTATCTCTAACATGAGTTTATAATGCAGCACTAGGAATAGGAGCATGAGTAGAGTGCGTATTTATTACAAGGTCTTTCCTCCAGGAGACACCCCTGGTTCTCCTCCTTCTCCGTTTTTAACCTCACAACATTCTTGCGAGGTAGGTTAAACCGACAAAGAGAGCGATTGGCTTACGTTTAACCATTGAGCTTCAGTCCTAATCTAACGACTACACTTTTCAGATTAGAAACGGATGATTGGGGGGGGGGGGATATGATATAGATTTATAAAATTTGATGGGGAAAGTTTTCTCCCTCTCCCGGATTACTAGAACTCGAACTTTAGCCACTGCCGTTAGAGGGTAATATATTAAGGAGCGACGAAAGAAAACTCTTCTTCACATAACATGTAATTTACAGCACTCATTGCCACAAGACGTGGCAATGGCTACTAGCTTAGATGGCTTTAAAAATCAGGAAAACGCATGGAGGTCTAGTGCTCATGATGGCAGAAAGAAGCTTCCATGTTCAGTGGCAGTGTACCTTTTTTCACCAGGTGCTTGAGAGCTAGCAGCAGGAAGTGTCTTTCTTATTAAAGAGCTGTGGAGATCAGAACATGGTGTGTAGGTGTGTGAATGGGCTGTATCTTTTATTATTATCATTATCATTATTATTATTATTATTATTATTATTATTTATTTCATTTATAGCCCTTTTCTCACTAAGACTCAAGGCAGATTACATAAATTTGTCAGAAAGTGTAAAACATACAATAAACAATGCAATAGGACTAGAACTGCAGAACTGGGAGAACAATGCAAACCAAAAAAAAGCCCCTTGTCTAAGGTTTGTCATACTATAATCCAGAAAGGTAGAAGAGAATGCAGAAAAAGCGAGGAGAAACATACAATAAACATTTCAATATTCCTTTCCATGGCCTCCCTCTCTGACACACAACATCTGAAATACTGGTGCACTGAGATGGACTTTCATTGCAAAAGAGGTCTGTGGAACTCCCTGCCTCAGGAAGCCTTGGTGGCCTGCTGGTTTAGTTTCAGAGAACCTCTGAACCTGCTGGCAGGTGTCCATTGCTGATCTGCTGTCTTTAAGAGTGCCTTATTCTATGCATTGCAATTACATTTCCCTCCGCTTAGAAGGGCAAGCCATAAATGGCTTCATATAAAGTCAGAGGATGAGTGTGGTCCCCAGATGATGCACTATGGCTGCGAGGTGTTTTCCTCCTGTCTTACCTGAGAGCTTTTGAAAGGAGGGGGGCACAGAAGAAGAACCTCATTGCTGATTTTGGTTCAGGCCCATGGGGTCAGCCTATTGGTCCCTCCAGCCTAGCACTGCCTGCTGTAATTGGTAGCAGCTGTCCAGGGTCTCGAGAAAGGTCCCCCCCCCAATAGTGGCTACCTGAGATCCATTTGGCTAGAGATGCTGCTATAGATCAAACCTGACACTGTGCCATGCTCATAAACTCATGGAGTTCCAGAGTCAGATCGGTATCACATCTGACACAGCACTGTGCCTTCTGATTGGCAGCAGCTGTCCGGTTGTTCTTGTCAGCCATTTAAAAAAATTGGATTTCAACAAGGCAGACCGGATGCCAGGATAAGGCCCCTTGTTTATGCACCAGGAGCTGTGGGCAGCTCCGCTACTGCGTTGCCTTAGATGCCGGCTTATCACTGTCCTCAGACACAGAACCCACCAGAGCCAGTTTGGTGTAGAGGTTAGGAGTGCAGACTCTAATCTGGGAGAACCGGGTTTGGTTCCCCACTCCTCCACATGCAGCTGCTGGTGTGACCTTAGGTCAGTCATCATAAGTTCTCTCGGAGTTGTTCTCTCAAGAGCAGTTCTCTCAGAGTTCTCTCTGAGTTGTTCTCTCAAGAGCCATTCTCTCAGAGCTCTCTCAGCCCCACCTACCTCACAGGGTGTCTGTTGTGGGGAGGGAGAGGGAAGGGGATTGTAAATGGCTCTGAGACTACTTTGGGCAGTGAAGGGCAGGGTATAAATCCAATATCTTCTTTATTTGCATGCCAAGCTTCCAACGCAGCCCTTCCCCTAGCAGAGCAAGCCTGTTCCATCCCCTGAAGGGCAGGGCTGCTTCCTTTTGGGTCCTCCCCTTCATCCCACAATCCTCTGCTTTTGCTCCTCCTGCAAGCTCCATGTGAGTGGCCAGCAGCAGCAGCAGCAACAGCAGCAGCCGCGAAGAGCAGACCATGGCTCCCCCCACAGGTAATCTGCAGGGGTGGAAAACAGACTTGGGGGGGGGGGCATCCCTAGGAGGGGAGGCTGATGTGGGGGAGGGGGGTTTGTTGAAAGGTGGGATTCATAGATGCATCTGCCAAATTATCTTTTTTCCTCCTCCTGACCTTGCTCCTGCCTTTCTTGAACAGGCAAACATTCAGTAAAATTAGATTTCCCTGTTCTCATGTTGGGGGGGGGGAAGTCACCTGTTGAATTTCTGCCTGCTTTTAACGACCCATTTATGGAAAGTAAAGTGGAAGCCACGAGGCGAGGCTCGAGGGACAGAAAGGGCAGCCAGCTTTTGAACCAATGGATTCCCCACCCCCCTTTAATTGCCTTTTTAAATTGCATTTTGGCAAAGCAGATCTCAGCTAAATGCCAATGGGCGTTTGGGGTGGGGCAGTTCTGGCCGGTTGGTAACCCGAGAAGAGGTGCATCCAACAAGCACTTGCAGAGAGAGAAGGGCTGAGTCAGGACAACAGGGGTGCTGGAGGGAGAGAAATGGGGCTGGGGAGGGGGGGGAGGAATGGGATTGGATGGGGCTGGTTTTGGCCTGTCACCCCGGCAACACAGTGTGAAGCTCCAGAGAGCCCTGGCAGCATTGTGTGCCACAACACCAAATTAAATGTGCTAGTTGAATTAATCAACCCTGACCCCCAGTTGTTTCTAGAAGACCATGTGGCTAGTCCTCAAGACCTGCCAAAAGCAGAAGCGGCCTACCTCTGTCATTTCACACCGAGAGCGGCTGCCCCACTCAAGTAGGGGCAGCCTTCCCCCCCCCACACACACTTCTAACTTTGGGGTGCCGGTGTTCCAGATTCCCCTGAAAAGCAAGAAGGATGATGTTGTGGGAAAGAAATTATGAGGCAGCAGGTAGGGGGAAGCAAGCAGTGCAGAAACTGGAGTCAGTCCTGATTTCATTCACAAGTTGTAGATACAGGTGCCCTGACCTGCATGGCCCAGGCTAGCCTGATCTTGTCAGATCTCAGAAGCTAAGCAGGGTTGGCTCTGGTCAGTATTTGGATGGGAGACCCACCAAGGAAGTCCAGAGCCCCTATGCAGGGGCAGGCAATGGCCAACCACATCTGAACATTTCTTGCCTTGAAAACCAAACGGGGTCGCAGGTACCCCAAATCCCCTTGGGCTCCTGCTTGCAAGGCCACCCTCGATCTGGCATTTGACTTTCCAAGCTTCTCTTTTGATGTGCGTGCCTCCCGCCCTGCATCCCTGGTATCTTCATACCGATCTTGATACAAATATTTATTTATTCAGTTATACTCTGCCTTTCTTTCCAGTGCGAACCCAAAGTGGCTTACATCTCCTCCCCTTTATCCTTACAGCAGCCCTGTGAGTCAGGTCAGGCTGAGAGTGTGTGACTGGCCCAAGGTCGCCCAGCAAACTTCCATGGCAAAGTAGGGATTCGAACTTGGGCCTCCTAGATCCTAGCCCAACACTCTGATCACTACATGGCACTGGCTGTCTTCAGCGCCCACAGGGCAGCCAGTCTTAATGAGAAATAGCAGGTATAGCCAGTTCTGCCCGTGTGTAGCCAGTTGAGCTTGATGGCAGTGAGACAATTTGCTAAGAAATAAGTGGGGGTTGTGCTGAATGAGTTCTGATGCCGAATGTCACATGGAATGTGGCCCCAGCGCAACACCAAGAGAATGCCTGCTGATAGAATTCTTTTTTTAAAAAAACATTGGCTGTCTAAAATGATAAGCAGTTGTTTTAAATTGAAAATTGCATTTTAAAAGGTTGGAATACTAAGAGAGACCTCTAGGTTTATCTATCCTGGCATCAATTGACTCTGTAGGGCAGGGGAGGCCAAACGGCAGCTTGGGAGCCACACACGGCTCTTTCACACAGTCTAATTTAATGTTAATAAAAAGCAAATTTGCGTATTTTCCAATAACAACGTGTGTGTAATATTTGTCCATGTCTAACGTTTATTCTATGTGGCTCTTAAGTTAAGCAGGTTTGGCCACCCCTGCCCTAGGGCCTCTGCCAAAGGTCTTCCCCATCACCTAGGACTAGAGATGCTTGTAACAAGACTGAACTTTTTGTATGAAAAGTGTGTGCTTTGCCACTGAGCTGTGGCCCCCTCTGGCTACAAAAACAGAGTGGGGCGTTTTTTGTTGTTGTTGTTTTCTCATGAACATAGGAAGCTGCTGAGTCAGACCACTGGCCCACCTACCCCCGTTTGCTCTCCTCTGATTGGCAGATGCCTTTCCAAGTTCTCAGGCAAAGAAAGGCCTTTCCCAGCTCTGTTATCTGAAACCCTTTTATTTGAGATCGAACTAGAGGCCTTCTGCCTGCAAACCCATCACGTAGCAGCGTAGAGTGTCAGTCTAGGATTGGAGAGACCCAGGTTTGAATCCGCCCTCTGCCATGGCAGCTCAATGGGTGACCCTGGGCCAGTCATTCTTTCTCAGCCTAACGAACCTCACAGGGTTATTGTTGGGAAGATAAAATGGAGGAGCAGAGAATAATGTTGTAAGCCGCTTTGGGTCCTGTTGGGGAGCAAAGCAGCATACAAATATTTAAATACATACGTTGCTTAGCCATCATGCTTTGGCTCCTCATACGAGGGCAGAGAGTTTGTATGCACTTCTGCCCAAAACAGTTACCCTCACCCGGGGAGTAAATGTTTGTGTGTTTCTCAGTCCTTGGTCCTTCGGCTGTTCTGCTGCTTGGCCATACAGTTTCCCTTTTTCCCCCCAGGTAGCGTCATGGATGGCCAGTCTCGCCTTTCCCCGGTCAACCGCCTCCGGTGGGACCTGACAGCCGAACAGATCGACAGGGCAACGACGGAGCTCATTGAGAAGACCAAGCAAGTGTACGATGTGGTGGGCGCCCTGCAGCAAGCTGAAGTCTCGTATGAAAACACCCTGAAAGCCTTGGCGAATGTGGAGGTGGAGTATACAGGTACAGGGAGAAAAACTGGAGTAGGTGAACTTGCACATGCCTTGTTTGAAGTGCCAGACTGGCTGTGAGAGAGGTGCTCTTTGACGACTGTTGGGAGGCTGCGGCTGGTGCCAAACTCACACAGCCTCATGCCTGTAGGCAGCGGGGGGAGGGGGGCACTGCTGACAATGCCCCCACTGAATCTTCAGTGCCCCCACCCCAATCTTTCTCCTCGCCCCAATCTTCCCCTTTAAGTCACCACCGCCATCCTCTTTGCGCAGATTGCCGTTTTCCCTGCCACCTTTGGAATAAGGCTTGAAGCTGGACTTGTCCTCACTGGGTGACTCCCCCAGCTGCTTGGGGGCACTGGAGGCAGCGTGGCTGCCCGATTCCTTGTTTGAACCGGGGAGGCCGGCGGCGCCCATCACGTGGCTCACTGCTGCAGCCGCTGCCACTGAACAGAGTGCAGCTGGCTCCTGCCACGGATGCAGGCTGATGCCGCAGGGCCGTCAGCCTCACTGGGCCCCTTTAAAGCGAGCTGAGAAAGGGGGGGAGTTGCTGTGGAGTCCAAATGGACTCCGGAACTTCTTTGTGATTAGGAAGCGCTCATCAGGATTTCTTTTGGGAACCTGAGCCTTTAACAGGTAAATGGCAGAAAAGATGGCTCAGTATGCCAAGTCCCTACCACCATCTTTTCGGGTATAAAAGATAACACCCAACCATGGTATCTTGTGATCTTATTTAATTTAATTAGTGCTTGCCCAGGCACCCCCTCAGGAAAAATTCCTGGCTACAGAGCTGCACAGCCTTCTCTTCCACGTTTCCCTCTGGGGCCCATGCTAGTTTCTCCTGTTTTTTTGAGTGTGATTCTCTAACTGCTAGTCATAAGAAGCTCAGAACTGGTATGTCTGGGCTAGCATCCTTTCCAATGTCTGTTCATCATGACTCCTAAAGAAGCATTGCCAGAAATGTTGAAGCCACGGTGTGTGGGGGGTGGGAGGACATAGTACAATTTTTTTGTGACTCTTACCCAGCGTGTGGTTAAAGAAATTTATGAGGGAATTTAAATTTACACAGAACTTGGTAATCAGCATAGCCATATGCAGGTTTCCTCATTTGTAAATCTTCTGTGAGGAGTTTTTGACTGGCAAGGCAGTCAAGAGAGTACAAGTCCCTGCCCCCCAAAATCTGCCCCATAAGATTTACCAGTGTGATTTTTCATCATATATCTATTTGACAAAGTGGGATGTAACCATGAAAGCTGCCGTTGAAATAAATGTTGCTGGTCTGTAAAGCACCAGTAGATTTTGGGGTTCTTTATTTTAAGGGGGTCTAGCACCATGGGTAAGATTTTATTGATTTAAATCATTTCCATGCTGCCTTTCCACCAAAATAGGTTCCACCCAAGATCCAAATTGTGGGGATAGAAATCACAAGGAATAAAACAGAGGGAGTTTTGGACAATAACCCAAACCATAAAAATAAGTGATCCAAGTTGAATTTATATGGGAAAATTATATTTTAAATTATATTTATTTTCAATAAAATTGAATAAATTTTGCTTTGCAATAGTGCTGAGAGGTGCCTCCTATTGGAGCATGGATCATTTGTGCAAGTAATATGAATTCCATATGTCTAAAATAAAGTTTCAGGCTATGTGCAGGATGTGAGATAACTCTTTTAAAAATTTTTGTCCATTCTAAGGAGCAAGTGATAGAAGTAAATATGATGCCTGCTCAGACCTCTGGCCAATCGACCTATCTACAGATGGAAGTCCTTAGAGAGGGGGCTGCAAGAAGGGTATAAACAGGCTCCACCTTAGATCCGGGGTTTCGGATTGTTGATGGGCTAAATTCGGTTTCTTCTGCAAAAGGTCCATAGAGTTCTATCTTTGGTCTACCCAACCAAATTTAGATTTCGGTAGGATTCATTGGTAAGAGCAATTCTTAGAAAGGAGATTGATCTGTGAAAAGGGTTGAGAAAGTGAGGATGCTTTAGGATAAACAGTAGACATTGATTATGCTGATACTGAACTGAACACTCACGCAGGTAGGTGTCTGGTTGTCCTAATAAACATCTTGATTATCTCCTATACCTTTGTTCTGTCTCAGAAGGTCCCCCAATAACTAGGGCAAAAGATTCCAGTGTGAGCTAAAAGCCTGTGAGTTCTTTCAAGTCCAAAGGTCTTACACCCCATTGTAAAGGACTACTGAGTAAAGGTAAACTTGACTTAAAACTCCTGAGTTTCCTTAGCCAAGCATGTGAGGGTTTAGAACCTTAATCATACTGAGAAACACAAAACGCATCCTACCTGTCTTAGTGGAGAAGTGTTGAACACTGAGGGGGGTATTTTATTAAGATCATTTATTTCCTTCTCCTTCATTCACCCTTAAGTTGGGAGTGGGGGTCAGTATAAGTCAAAAATCATAAAATTGCAGTAAAAAGGCTGTGAGCCAGTGAGTGCCCCCCTAAACCCTCATCTGAACCGTATCATAAAAACCTACATCATGGAGGGAGCATAAGAAAACAGCCCAGGCGGGATGTCAGCACAGGCAGAGCAAGGCCAGGTTCCCTTGGGTGTGGCGACAGTGCCCACCACCACAAATGGCTAAACGTCATCAGCGCAAGGGGTGACATTATTTCCCTGGGCAAAGGAGTGGTGGCACATGATTATAACTGCCCACTGTTTCTTCTTCCAGTTCAGAGGAACATGCTGGACTTCCCTCAGCATGTCTCTCCGTACAAAGACATCCGCACAGCGAGTACCGAGGCTGACAAGAAGCTGTCGGAATTTGACGTGGAGATGAGCATGAGACAAGATGTCTATCAAAGGATTATCTGGCTCCAGGTTGGTCAAAGGGGGAGGGGACTCTCTGGAGAACCTGAGCGGCCCACTGGGGACATGTAAGTCTCTGAGCTCTGCAGTGCCAGATGGGCAGGTGTAGCTGGTTGCTAGGGAAGGCCTAGGCTTGGGAGGCCAGTTGCTAGGGAAGGCCCACACTCAGGAGCCGGATGCTACAGAAAGCCCACACTCGGGAGGCTGATTGCTAGGGAAGGCCCACACTCAGGAGCCTGGATACGAGAGAAGGCCTCACTCGGGAGGCTGATTGCTAGGGAAGGCCCACACTCAGGAGCCGGATGCTACAGAAAGCCCACACTCGGGAGGCTGATTGCTAGGGAAGGCCCACACTCAGGAGCCTGGATACGAGAGAAGGCCTACGCTCAGGAGGCTGGTTGCTAGGGAAGGTGCAGGCTCAGGAGCCTGGATACGAGAGAAGGCCTACGCTCAGGAGGCTGGTTGCTAGGGAAAGTGCAGGCTCAGGAGCCTGGATACGAGAGAAGGCCTACGCTCAGGAGGCTGGTTGCTAGGGAAGGTGCAGGCTCAGGAGCCTGGATACGAGAGAAGGCCTACGCTCAGGAGGCTGATTGCTAGGGAAGGTGCAGGCTCAGGAGCCTGGATACGAGAGAAGGCCTACGCTCAGGAGGCTGATTGCTAGGGAAGGTGCAGGCTCAGGAGCCTGGATACGAGAGAAGGCCTACGCTCAGGAGGCTGGTTGCTAGGGAA